TTTCTATTGCATGCTGCATTCTTTCTGTGTATAAATATCAGCCTACCAAGGCTGAAATGCAGGTGCTGAAATGAGCTAATTGACAAAAGACAGTTAATCTTTATGATGCCACAAGTCTTTGTTGCTTTTGCTGTATGTGGCTATCCCTGTACTTCTTTAATTACAGTTACAAGAGTGTGGCCTTAGTAACTAATGGAAGAGGAATATTACATTGTTTTCCAATGTTTTTATTGTTTCCTATTATTGTTATGTTTTGCTGTTTTTGCCCCCCAGTAGCTCTGCTACTAGTTATTGGGGGGGGGGAATAAAAATGTAAACAAATGGATGGATGGATGGATGGATGGATGGATGGATGGATGGATGGATGGATGGATGGATGGATGGATGGATGGATGGATGGATGCTGGCTTATGCTGTGCCTTTTTCTCTGCACGGGTGCTGAGGCATCTATGATGTATATGAGAAGAGACTTTATGTTGTTCTATATGATACCTTGCAATATTCAGATATTTACTTTAAATGGCTGCCACCCTTAGCGATGTTAATTCGTTCTGAAAAAATCACTGCTAAGGTATTTCATCGCTAAGCAAAATGCGGTTTCCCATTTAAATGCATTGAAAACCGGATAATCCATTCCAATAGGAACGAATTGCTGTCCTTAAGCAAAAAATTGCCTTAGGAAACATCGCTAAGTGAAACGCGGTTTCCCAATTGAAATGCATTGAAACCTATTCAGTGCATCTCAATGGGGGAAAAAATACAACAACAAATTAAAAAAGAGTCAGAACAAAGTCAAATTTGGTTAACAAAGGGTTTATTAAGTGCACTTTATGATTTCAAACGTTTTCAGTAAACTTTAACTTTATAAATAACAGAAAAACATTTAAAAAACAGCAAACATGAGGCTGTTTAAACCATTGTTAAGTGAAACATGGGACCCAAAATTTAATATCTATCCGAAGCATGGTCCCAACCATCGCTAAGCGAAAATTGCCCATAGGGATCATCGCTAAATGAAGTGCAAAAACGCTCTGAAGTCGTCGCTAAGCGATTTTGTCGCTAAGCGGAGTGCCTGTTAAGCGAGACACCACTGTAACTAAATATAACTAGAATCAAGAAACTAAAGAATTTTTTTTAACAAAATTGCAGCTATAATGGTGTTTAGCTCCTTGAAAGTGGCTATACTATAAATGTAACTGAAGTATTGTTTAAAAAGTAACTTTTATAGACCTTTCTACATTGCTGTCTTTCTGCTAGCTCGCTAGACTAGAGCTAAATCAGATAAGGACACTGCAGTTGACCATGATAGCCCATAGGTAACTATCAGAGGGAGAAAAGAATTGCGCCTCAGAGAGTCAGAACTGATGTACACTGTGTAACTGTCAGAGTGAGGAAAACCATTGTGTGTAGGCATCCTTCAGTGTTGAGAGACTATGGTAATGTGCTCTGTATGGAGGTCTTGGAACAGCATTTAGTGTGTCTGAGAAGGCCAATTCGAGAGTG